AACTCATACAACTCAACAGCAAAAAAAAAAAAAAAAATACAACCCAGTTTAAAAGTGGGCAGAGAAGCTGAATAGGCATCTTTCCAAAGAAGACATACAGACTGCCAACATGTACATTAAAAGATGTTCAACATCACTAATCATCAGAGAAATGAAAGTCAAAACCACAGTGAGATATCACCTCACACCTGTTTGGATGGCTGTTATCAAAAAGGCAAGAAATAACAAGTGTTGGCAAGGATGTGGAGAAAAGGGAACCCTCTTACACTGTTGGTGGGATACAAATTGGTACAGCCACTATAGAGAACGGTATGGAGGTTCCTTAAAAAATTAGGAATAGAACTACCATATGATCCAGCAATCCCACTTCTGGGTATTTATGCAAAGAATACAAAAACACTAATCCAAAAAGATATCTACACCCCCATGTTCATCATGGCATTATTTACAATAGCCAAGATAATGGAAACAACCAAAGTGCCCATCAACAGATGAATGGATAAAGAAGATGTGGCACATATATACACAATAGAATAATACACAGCCATAAAAAATATGAAATCTTGTCATTTGGGACAACACACGCATGAACCTTGAGGGTATTGCACTAAGTGAAAAACGCCAGACAGAGAAAGACAAATACCATGATTTCACTCATACAGGAATATAAAAAACTAATAAACAAACAAAAACAAAATAAATGAGTAAACCAAGCCAAACAAAAACGAACACATAGATACAGGGAACAGAGTAGTGGTTACCAAAGAGGAAGGGGTGGGGGGAGGGTGAAATGAATAAAGTGGATCAACTGTATTGTGATGAATGGAAAATGAATTTTTGGTGGTGAGCATGTTGTAGGGTATACAGAAGTAGAAATATGAATGCTGTACACATCAAACTTATATAATGTTATAAATCAACGTTACTTCATTTTTAAATAAATTTTTTAAAAACTAAAAAAAAAAAAAGAGGAATATCTCAAACTGATAATTGAAGCTTCCACCTAATGATCCTAGAAAGGAAGAAAAAATTAAGCCCAAAGCAACAGAAAGAAAGAAATAATAAAGTTAAGGGCAGAAACCAACAAAATTGAAAACAGGAAAACAACAGAAAAAATCAATGAGACAAAAATCAATAAATTTACAGAGAGAGAGCACAAGCGGGTAGAGAGGGAGAGAAAGAGAACAGAGATTACCATTATCAGGACTGAAACAGGAGATATCACTACAGACCCTGCAGACACCAAAACAATAATAAGGAAATACTACGAACAACTCTATATACAGTTGTAGGTTCGTGACTCTTCTGTTTTTGACAAATAAAAAATTTTATAATTTAAGGTGTACAACATGTTTTGGTATATGTATACATTGTGAAATGATCAAACTAATTAATATATCCATCACCTCCCATAGTTATCATTTGTATGTATGTGCAGTGAGTATACTTGAAATCTACTCTGTTAGCAAATTTCAAGTACACAGTACATTATTATTAACTATAGTCACCATTCTGTACACTAGGTCTCCAGAATTTATTCATCTTACAACTGAAAGTTTATACCCTTTGATCAAAACCTTCCCTTTTCCCATACCCCACAGCCTCTGGTAAACACCACTTTACTCTCTTTTTCTGTAAGTTTGGCTTTTTCAGATTCCACATATAAGTGATATACAGTATTTGTCTTTCTCTGTCTGACATTTCATTTAGTATAATATCCTTAAGGTCCATCCATGCTGTCACAAATGACAGAATTTCCTTCCTTCTCATGGCTGAATAATATTCCATTGTATACATGTACCACAACTTCTTTATCCACTCACCCATTGATGGACACTTAGGTTGTCTCTATGTCTTGGCTATTATGAATAATGTTGCAATGAGCATGGCAGTACAACTATCTCTTCGATATCCTTTTTCACTTTTTTGGATAAATACCCAGAAGAGAGATTCCTGGATCATATATGGTAGTTCTATTTTTAATTTTTTTAAGAAACTTCATACTGTTTTCCACCATGACTGTACTAATTTACATTTCCACCAACCGTGCACAAGGGTTCCCTTTTCTCTACATCCTCACCAACACTTGTTATTTCTTGTCATTTTGATGATGCCATTCTAACAGAATACGGTTTCTCATTGTGGTTTTGATTTCCATTTCCATAATAAGTACTGATGTTGAGCACCTTTTCGGGTACCCTTTGGCCATCTGTATGTCTTCTTTAGGAAAATGTCTATGCAGTTCCTCTGCCTAGTTTTTAATTGGATTGTTTGGGGTTTTGCTGTTGAGTTGCATGGGCTCTTTATATATTTTGGATATTAACCCCTTATCAGATACATGATTTGCAAATATTTTCACCCATTCCATTGACTGCCTTTTCATTTTGTTGATTATTTCTTTTTCTGTGCAGAGACTTTTTCACTTGATGTAGTTCCACTTACCAATTCTCCCTTTTGTTGTTTGTGCTTTTGGTGTCCTATCCAAAAAACCGTTGCCTCGTTAGGTAGTTTTAATTAGGTCCCATCACTCCCAGAAGTCACTCCCCAAAGGGCCCTGACTAATGTACAACCCATCACTGCATCGACCGTCAGGCCTAGCACAAAGAAGCCGATTAAAACCCAGCTGAAAAGGGCAAAGCACAGAAAAATGGTCTGAAGAAGAAAATGTCCAAATGAAGCACAACTTGTTGGGCCACCACCTGCTACTGCCATGCACTGGACAGTTTTACTTGGGTCAGGTGGACCAGAGAACAGCACCAGCCCCGGGGAGTGCCCAGTCTTCACATATCTTAAATGCCATCCTCCACTCATCATGGGACAAGGCATTATCACTCACAAAGCCTACCATGACCAACTCAGGCTACCAAGCAGGTCCTCGTTTCTCTCTCTCCAAGTTTCAGAAACAAAAGAACCATGATAGGATATTCAATAGAGAATCTTTTTCCATCAGCATCCATTCCAGGATCTATGACCTCCGGGCTCCCACACTGACCTACTTCTGGATGAGATGGCCTCCAGTGTACAACTCATCAGAGAAGCTTCTCCTGATCACTGTTTTAAATGACAATCCTTACCACCTCCACCCCATCCTGGTATCCATTCCAGGTACTTTTCTCTACCTTTAAGCATCATCTAACATGGTACCTATTTTTTTATGTTCTGCCCTCCAAGCCAACTAGAATGTAAGCTCTAAGGGGTCAAAGACTCTCAGCTTTGTTCCCTGTTCTATGCCCAACATCTAGGACAGTGCCTGACACATGCTGTGTTTTCAATAAATATTTGTTGAATGAATGAATGAATGCACATGCAGTGATGTAAGACTAAGACCAAGTTAACAGAGAGAACAGACAGAGGAGCGATCCAACTTCCAGTCTACAGGAGGTGACGATGAGCAATAACTTGATATGCCCATCCTCAGGTGAGATAAAAGAAGGAATGGGACAAATAGGACTCATGAGGCATTCAGGTCCAAGCTAGTAGTACAGTTAGGCGAACAGCTATGGTTTTTGCCTACCTAGCACCCATTTACCCTTCTGACAATAACCTCTGACTTTCCTTTAGGTTCTGCCTGACCTACTTTTGGGGTAAGGATGTGACCTAATTTAGCCAATCAGCATACCCCACACCTTTGCTCATACCAATTGCTTTCTGTTTGGACACATGATCCAATTCAGGAAAGAAGAGTCAATCCCATGATATCTACCAAAACAAATGGGAAAAAGAAACTTCCTCTCCAAGAACATTGCTAGCAATTAAGACGATAAAGCCTGGAGCTGTCGCCGTCACCACCTGGAGCCTAAGAATAAAGCCAACTCAGAAGAAAGCACCAAAGAGAGATGTCAAGAGACAAACTTGAGTCCCTCCCTGGATCCAACCACACCTGAAGGTACTGGGCATTTCAATAATGCCAGCCAATAAATTCTCCTTTTCTGGTCAACTATTTTGAATTGGGTTTCTGTCACATACAACTAAGAACATCCTGACCAGTACTAAAGAACAAGAGGAAAATACATTCTTGAGGTTCTTAAATACCTAGCTGAGAAGCCTAATGTCAGGCAAGGTGTTCCAGAAGGGCCATCCCATACCTTTTGGTGAAACTCATTGCCAGTCTTTTTGGTGAGCAGGATAGGGGCTGAGGAGAAGGTCATGATGCTAGTTTTTTATTATTTGTGTTTACCTTTTGGGAATTTATTCAACAACTCTGTCTCAAGAAAACGTCACTGAACCAAGAGTCAGTTCTGGAATGGAAAGCCCACTAGTTAAGACGTTCTTAATCTTTGATGGGGTCAAAACCCCAGAAAAGTACACATGTGCACAAACACATAATTTTGCGTAGAGTCTCATGGGTTTCACAACTCTAGAAGCCATTCTATATCTGTAACCTCTCTGCTCTACAGAAACTAGGACACTAGCTTCTGCTTGGACTCCTCTGGTGACAGGGAGATCACTACCTTAAAAAGTAGCCCAACGTAATTGAACTGCTCTGGAAAAATTAATTCGTCTTCATATTGAACCAAGATCTGCACACTGTGACTTCTACCCATTGGCCTAAATTTTCCAGAGCAAAACAGAAAAAAAAAATTTCTCTCCTGTGTGTAGCATCTCTTCATTTCTCTGAAGACTGTTTCTAACTTTTAAATGCAAATAATTTATGGGGAGAAATGCAGATGATGTGCCATGCAAATTATTTTACAGTGCCTTGTTATAAAGATATATTCTGCCACCCTAAATATGCCAAACACCCAAATGTAGACGCTAAATTCCAGACAGGCACCACTGCTATTAATCTGCATGGTCTAGGTTTTGCAAAGACAGGAATTACTGTATAAAAATATCTTGAAGGAAATAGCAAAGTTTTTTGGAGAGAGCACTTCACTGAGACTCAGAAGACTTGGGAGTAGTATCTATCTCCCATTCCAACTACCTGTGTATGCTTGGGCAAATCATTTAACCCCTCCCTCTGGGCCTGTTTCTCACCTGTAAAATGTGACAAAACCTACCTCACAGGGATGCAGTGAGAATCAAATGCTATCGTGTTCGTAAAACTTCTAGCCCAAGCCCGGCACAGAGCAAATTCTCACCACAGGACAGCTCCGGAGCTCAGCAAGCTCAGCGTCTCATTCGATGCGCTCGGCACTCTTGCACCAACGGGATTCCCCTTCCCAAGCGGAGTCTGCGCTCTGGGCTCGACTGAGGCTCCCTGGCCGCTCGCGCTTTTCTCTCCTTCTCCAAGATGGCGGCGGTCGGCGGCGCTGAGGCGGGATCCGAGCGAGCCTAGTGAAGGTAGCGGCGAGCGGAGCCCCCACGAGGCCGAGCTGGGCCCCCACCCCCAGGCGGCAGTGGCCCCGCCCCGCCACCACCCGCCGCCTCGGGCCGCGACACCGCCCTGAGGGCGCCCGGGGCCCGTCGCGGCCTAGCCCAGGGGCCGAGCCGGGGACTGGAGTAGCGGCCGCAGTCCGCCCCCGGGAAGGGGCTGGAGCGGGTCGAAGGAGGAAGGCGGGCGGGAGCTGTTCAAATGGGGAAGGCGGGAAAGTGCGGGCCGGGAGGGGGCGTGCGGCCGCCCCGGGGGCCCGCGGGCCGAGGCCGCCCCTCCCCCTGCCCGGCAGTCTCCGCCCTCGGGGGCGCCGGGAGCCGCCGGGACGCGGGAACCCGAGTGGGGCCGCCTGGCTCAGGACCCGGGACGCAGGGTCCCTGGGCTGTCAAGGGGCGAGGGGGCCGGGTGATGGGAGGGCCGGGGCCGCGGCTGGCAGGAGAGGATGCAAGGAGCTTTCCTCTTTTCCTCTTCGCACCTTCGCACAGCTTTATTGAACTAGCTGTTGCTGCAGAACTGCCGGGAGAATCCTGTTGGTTTGCCGTGGGGACCACAAAGACGGTGGTCCTTGGGGCTCTTTGTAGCAATAACCCGGTGTGGTGTGTACTCTTTGCGTGCGACCCAGTTTGAACATACCTTCCGAGTGGGTTTTTCTCCATCCAGGCCCATTTCCCCCCAAAGCTGGTACTTGTAGATATTACTTTATTTTCTGTCGGGCAGAAGAGAACCATTTATCTCCCTGCCTCCTGATGGCTGACTATATTCCCCCATAGCAGAATAAATAAAAAAACCGAATCCAAACTAGAGCCCGTTGATTGGACAAGGCTTGTCAAAATTTGTACCGCTGGATTTTTGGGAATGTGTGTTGTCAGCCGCTCTGTGAGGTCGTCGTGGTTCCGCTCAATTGCACTACAGTGAGGATTCAGTCCCCATCCCAGGCTGTCGGGATCTCTGCAGTTCCCAGAGCTGGCAGGGGCTGTGAGTGCTGCATAGGTAGGTTCGTGGAGAAGGGAGTGGCAAGAATTCGGAGTCGCTGGGTTCTGAGATTGGAGGCGATCTCGACGAAAATGAGAAGACATCCCCTGCTCCTATCCTAGAAGTAACAACAACGACAACAATTCAGAAACTGGCAACTGCTGGATGTGCATCTTCCTTTTCCTGCCCTGGCAATTTGAGTTCCTGAAAGAAGTGCTGGAAGAAGAGAACACGGAATCTTGAGCAAGGCTGTCCTCCTGGACTGGACCTGGGTCTCAGGATTTTGCTTACCGCCCCGTTTCCGAGGTTTACTTTGTCTTTTTCAATACACACTTACATTTTGGGATGAAGAGGCTTGTTAGTGATTGCTGGGGCTCAGATGACCTCAAAAAATCACCTTCTGAAACTTTTTTTTTTTTCAGTATTTGTAATTTGGACCTTCAAAATAACAAAGTACTGTGTCTGGTGATTTTCAGTTTTTCCCTGATTCCTTTGATAATTCTAAAAGCAAAGCCTGAACATCACGCATGTACTTACCTACGAGTGGAAGAGCAGCTCTGCCTCCTTTTTCATCTCCTGAAGAAAAGTCCCACAAGAGCCATTTGATAAGTTGCACCTTTCAAAAGTACACATTTTTTATGACGGCATATTTCTTACTTCCATAAACAGCTTTAAGTAATGAACTTTTACTTCTGTTGTCATTTTTTAGCCCACTGAGAGGAACATAATTGTAAAATTATCCCTGCCTCTTGAAGTTGACAACATTGGATTCTGTAAACTCCAAAATTGGTGGAATTCGGGAGAATGAGCTTTAACACCTGTTTTACACTTGCCAACATTTAATGTAATTACGGCTTCTGTTTTCTAATGTGAATATCAAACCTAATATTTTTCATTTTCATTAATCCTGACAATCTGCTGCCTAACCCTGGACTCTGAATTTATCGTGGATAACATTCAAGACCTGGAAAGAATATCACAGGAGTCGTCTGATCTTATATAAATGTTGCCCTAACTCTGCCTTTCTTCCACACTGTTGCTTGAGACTTCTTTATCTGGTTTCATCTTTCTTCTATGAGTCAGCAACCAAAACTAACCTCTGGGCTGCAATAATATCCTGATTTTAAAGAACCCAGAAGTTCAGGGTCTATCAGTCTGCCCAGGCTGTGAGTGAGAGAGTCCATTGTGTCTAAACTTAGTTTTTTAAGCTCTTGGCTGTCCCAGTTCTTTATTGAATTAGACTTGCCTTCAGGCCCTGTTCGTTTTTTACTATCGGTTATTTAATCTTGTAGTTATAAAGTGCTCTTCCATGTCTTTGTAAAAATTGAATAGTAGCGGGCCTAATTCTAATACATAATGCTGACAGCCAGCACATGTTTTCTGTGCTGCCCTGTGCCTCTGAGGATCAGCTCCTAATTTTCTGTTCCCTTTTACAATTATTTCATGCACTGGCTGTTTTTCAAAGCAGTCAGTTATGAGACCATGAGCACTTTTTCACAGTCCAGTGACATCATTGTTTTCTTTCTCATACTGTCTTCAGAGGTACTTAACTCCTATTCTCACTGTTCGTTGTTCAGCTCTGTTGTATGTTAGTTTTGATGTTACCAAAGGGAAGGCCTGGTTATAAGTCTCAGGACCTGCCTTTGCGTCATACAGAAGAGCATTTTGTTGTTGACAGCAGATTGGTGGACACACTGATGATGTTGAATATTTAAGATTTTTTGCCCATTATTTCTCAAACGTTCTTTGCCAAACTCCATTTATCATGAAAAACATTTAAGCTGAGGTCTCAAATGTGGTATTTCTTGGCATTATCGGCCTATGAAGATTAATGGGATCCATATACTCTTCTAATAAGCTCACTACTTTAGTGCCAGTGAGTGGATGTACTATTTTTAAGTGAATGGATATAATTCCCTATGATGATCCCCTCCCCTAACCCCTTGTGGAGTTACACCACTTGGGTGGACAGGGGATGACAGTAATTTCTATTTGAGAAAGTTTAATGCCTAATGCTGGAACATGAAAAACTGGCTATATTAAGTATCTTGCCTCCTCGTAGTTTCTACATGAGACCTGACCTCATATCACCTTCATTTCCTGTGAAAAGCCCTTTGAGTAAATAGTTCTCCAGTTACCTGTAAAATAACCCAGTTCATTTCTTCACTCTTACCTTGGCCAAGTTCATTCATTCCACTTCTTAGGGAAGTGGAGAAATGCTTTTTTATGTTTCTGAATCTGACTTGTAAATCATTCGTGGTAATACTTCTCTTTCTGTTTTCAACTTAGGCATTATCTGTGCATTGTATCTTATCTGACTTGTGCAAATAGGCCTTTTTTCTTTTGGTTTATTTTAAATGTAACTCTTATGAAATTTTCCCTTGTTAATTCATCTTTTCTTTTCCATAAGTTACATACTTCACTATTACCCATACCTTCCTGAAGGGACTGGCAATGTCTCATTGAAGTGTCCTTCAGCATTTCTAAACCCCACTATAGTGGTGAAGGTAAAATAAAATTTAAGTAAATAACCAGTCAGATCAACTTTTAAGCATTTCACTAACTGAATGAGGACATTTTCAATATATTTAGTGTATAATTTTTAAATTTCCTGAAAAAACTTTTCCTGCGGGAATTGTGACATTGCCTGTCCTAAAATTATTTGAAGAACTTTACCTTCGAGTGCAGTTCATGGCTTGTCATCTTCAAAGTCAAAATGGATGTATAAACTTGAATGCCAAAAAAGTAATTTTAGGGCCTCCCTGGTGGCGCAGTGGTTGAGAGTCCACCTGCCGATGCAGGGGACACGGGTTCGTGCCCCGGTCCGGGAAGATCCCACATGCCGCGGAGCGGCTGGGCCCGTGAGCCATGGCCGCTGAGCCTGCGCGTCCGGAGCCTGTGCTCCACAACACCACGACAGGAGAGGCCACAACAGTGAGAGGCCCACATACCGCAAAAAAAAAAAAAAAAAAATTTAACAAATTTAAGACAATATTTAGAACATTTAAATTTTTGTAGTTCTTCAAATCAGTGAAAATCTTAATAATGATAAAAATTTCATCACCAGTGGACAGATGACAATTCCTCCTTATTTTCACCTATTGCCTTTAAGAAAGGCTTGATAGAGTTGAAAGCTGTTCTGTGGGCAACTAATAAAGAAGTGTGCCTACTTTTACACTTCTCTGATTTTGAGCAAATTCAGAGAGCCCAACAAAATGCATACCAAAAAATTATGCTCTCAAGATCTTTAATATCACTATCATGTTCTCATCAGTTCTGTTTAAATTGCAATACAATAGATTTTAGCCTTTCACCGATTCAATTGGTAGGATTTTGTGGTCTCGAATGCATGGTATAACCTGTCTTCCTCTGCATCCTGCTTTATCTGTGCATTTTGTAACCGTGATTGAACCTATCCCTCTGACTTAATGTCGGTTTTCACCCTGTCTCAGTGTTGTCAGACCTGTTGGCATGTCAGAAGTTCTCATTAATCTTGAAGTATTTTTTTATATAGGAGGTGTTTTATATACTTCCCCAAACAACAGCTTTAATTCATGAATCAAATCAAATTAAGCCTAATGTACTTCCTACAGCTTCATCCCTAGTATATTTACAAACAGAAAGAGGAGGTGACAAGACACTCCTTTATTCCTTGCTGCCCTTCCAGTCTGCCCTTGGATCACTACGCATTTCCATCTGGAAGGTTGCTTCTCCACAGTGATTTCGCATTACAGGAGGGTTTTCCTTCTTTGTTTCTCAGACCTGGTCCTGTAGACGGGAAGGAGCCTGGACACAGGGACCCATTCTCAAAGGCCCGGCAGGAC